CTGCTCGCGCTTGCGCTACCTAGGACAACGTTGCCTCATGCAGCCTGCCAGCAGGCATGTGCGGCGGTGGGCGGAGCCAGTGAGACAGCGTGGCAGGCGACCTGGCCGTGACGCAACGCGCCTGCCGCCGGTGCTTCAGTCTCCGCCCACTGCTATCGAAGTTTCGAGCAAGTTTGCCGGCTGCACTTTTTCTGGGCAGCTTGAGGTGCCGCTCGCTTCAATCTGCCGCCTGCCTGCAATCGAGCGCGTCACTCCAATCACACACACTCACTCACACTTGGTCTCACTCTCTTTGTATCTCAGCGCCTGTAGTCTCTACAACACTGTGTAGCAAACACACCACCAGTTTTGGGTCACTTCGGGGCCATCACCACCAATCACCACTCACCATCCATTACCATCGCCACCACCAGATATACCACCAGATTCACTCTGTGTCTCTGTCTTTCCTTCGCAAAATNCACCACTCACCATCCATTACCATCGCCACCACCAGATATACCACCAGATTCACTCTCTGTGTCTCTGTCTTTCCTTCGCAAAACTCAGCGTTTCTAGTTCTCACTGCTATTATTCTTCGTAGTCACCAGCTTCTTCTTCCCTCTTCATCTTTGCAGCCACAGTTGGTAAGTTTCCTTTTTGGTCGGTTGGGTGCGTGAGTTTTGTCGTCTTTCTCACCACCACCACCACAACCGACGACGAGGATTGTGCAACAGCAGTGTGACTGATTCGCCTCTTTTCTCTCGCTCTTTCCAGAATCTTCCTTTCTGTGAAGCACAAGTGCGAAAGTGATTAATTTATCGATACTGCATCGATAAATTAATTTTCGCTGCCCAAACCCACCAGTCACCATTAGCCGCCTCAAGCGTTACTGGAACTCGGTCTACAAGTACTTTTCTGGAGACGAAACTGAAGGTATCAGAGATAGCTAGCGATTGTGTGTGCCAGCCAGCCAACCTCGGTGCGCTTAACACAACACAGCCCTTTTTGCCAACACAATAGTACCGTTTGCTAACTCCTCACACACTTTGCACCACCAGAGCCTCCCAAAGCATCTCAACCCGCTTCGGTTTTCAACAAATACAGACAAATAATGGCATCAGTCTCTAGTGCATCCTCAGCCATCTGCGGCATCGACGTCGGCTCGGAGAACTGCTACGTCGCCGTCGCCCGCCTCGGTGGCATTGAGATCCTACTGAATGAGTACTCCCAACGATCAACCCCCTCCTATGTCGGTTTCGGCGGGAACCAGCGCGAGCTGGGCGTCTCCGCCAAGCAGAAGCAGATGATGAACCTCAGCAACACCTGCGTGGCGCCCACGCTCCTCATCGGTCGTCGCTACGATGAACTCGATCTGAACTCGATTCCCTACCGGGTGGAGAAGGACGCCGAGGGAATGCCCGTCGTGGTGGTCAACCACAACGACGAGGAGCTGCGCCTCTCCCCCACGCAGGTGCTGGCGATGCTCTTCACGAAGCTGCGCCAAATCGCCGGCAACGTCGTTGACTGTGTGATCAACTGTCCGAACTACTTCACCGAGGTGCAGAAGCGGGCGCTGATGGACGCCGCCTCCATTGCCGGCCTCAATCCTCTGAAGGTCATTCCCGACATGACGGCAGTGGCGCTCTACTACGGCTTCTACCGGGCCGCCTCGGCTGGCACCGAGTTCAGCGTGGTCGCCTTCGTCGACGGCGGCCACACCTCGACGCAAGCCTCGGTGGTGCTCTTCAACCACAAGGAGAACACCATGCACGTCCTGGACACCGAGTACGAGCCGACCGTCGGCGGGAAGCACTTTGACGAGGTGCTCGCCAACCACTTCATCGCCGAGAAGAAGCTGCAGCTGAACAAGCGCGCCCGCTGCCGTCTGCTCGCCGAGTGCGAGAAGGTGAAGAAGCAGATGTCGGCCAACTCCAATGAGCTTCCCATCAACATTGAGTGTCTGCAGGACGACCGCGACTTCTCCGCGCGCATCGACCGCACCAAGTTTGAGGAGCTCTCCACGCCGCTCCTCGAGAAGGTCCACCAGACGCTGGCCACGCTGCGTCAGCGAGCCCAGGAGAAGTACGACAAGGACTTTGCCGACAAGTTTGGCGCCTTTGCCGTCCACTCGGTGGAGATTGTCGGCGGCAGCAGTCGCATCAGCGCAATCAAGCGCATGATCAAGGACATCTTTGGCGTGGAGCCGTCGACGACGCTGAACGCCGACGAGGCGGTCGCCCGCGGCTGCGCCCTCCAGTGCGCCATTCTCAGCCCCACCTACAAGGTGGCCAAGGAGCTGAAGATTCTCGATTCTCTTCCCTACCAGATTAACTTTAAGTAAGTGCCACTTTTTGTTACTGTTGTTTTGCGCTTTACTATAACAACCACATTTTTCTCTCCAGGTACACCCAAGGGTTTGAAGACTTCAAGACGGTCAACGCTCTGTACCCGCGAGGCCACCAGTACCCGTTTACCAAGCAGATATCTCTGTCCGTTCACAAGTTGCCCATCACCATTTGCTTTGAGTACGTCGACGAGAATGGGCAGAATGTGACCAGTTCGGCATATGAGATTCGCCACCCTGACGGCGGTGATGCCGTTGAACTGCTGTCAAAGAACAGCATCAAACTGCGCGTCCGTGCCGATGTCAACGGCGTCGTGCAGATTCACTCTGCCTCGGTGCAGTACGAGAAGCTGGAGAGTGTGCCCATGGACACTGCCGCCGAGGGCGAGAAGATGGAGACGGACGATTCGGCGGCGGCAGCGGCTTCCCAAGCCTCTGAATCAGCTGAGGCCGGCGCCGAGGCGGAGCCGAAGCGCAAGTCTACCAAGCCCAAGATGGCCACCATTGAACTGCAATCCATTCCGCGCTTTGAGGTGGGCAAGTTCTCCAGCACCGACCTGGTGAAGTTCCAGGAGCAGGAGAGCAACCTCATTCTCGCCGACAAGAACTGGAAGGAGAAGACGGACGCGAAGAACGCCCTCGAGGAGTTCATCTACGAGTGGAGAGACCGCCTGGAGTCGGGCAGCTACGACCCCTTTGTCCACCCCGACGCCAAGGGCCCCTTTCAGGCGAAGCTGGAGGAGAATGAAAAGTGGCTCTTTGAGCAGGAGGAGGAGGACCGCATGCACTCGAAGAGCGTCTACGACGAGCGGACCAATGCGATGAAGTCCACCTACGCCGATGGCATTCTCACGCGCAAGCGAGAGTACGAAAACCGACCGCGCGCCATGGAGCAGCTGGGCAGTCGGCTGCAGATGTCCCGCAAGCTCATCGAGGGCAGCACCGACGCCGACGAGAAGGAGGAGGTGGAGAAGTTCAGCAAGGAGATTGAGGAGAAGCAGCACTGGCTGGACGACGCCATGGGCAAGCTGAACAACATCAGCACCTACGATGATCCGCCGGTGAAGGTGGACGCCATTGCCCAGCAGACGGCCGCCGTCGAGGCCTCCATGGTCAGACTGAACAACAGCCGAAGTCGTCGGGCGGAGCAGAAGCGCAAGGCAGAGGCGGACGCTGCGGCGAAGAAGGCTGCTGATGCTGCTGCTGCCAGAGCTGCCGCTGAGGCGAAGAAGAAGAGTAAGACTGCTGGAGGAGGGAAGGGATCAGATGTGGTGGACGGCGATGTGCCTCCTGCACAGAATGGCTCCGAGAAGATGGACGTTGACCACGAGAACGGCTCTGCGGCGCCGGCTGACGGAGCCGAAGCGGCCACTGCTACTCCTTCCGCTTAAGCTGTGATGTGGCGGTCCTTCTCATTTCTTCTCCCCCTCTGCACCCCACACAAGCGCGCACTGTTTTCATTAATTAATATTTATGTTTTACTGACTGTCAACCTTTCATTTTATTCTAATTAGTCTCTCTCTTGTAATTTTTTCCCTCTTTCTTTCCTTTCCGGTGTCGAAACACTAACACACACACACACACATTCTCCTTCTCTTTCTTTTCTAAGCCATTTTACGTTAATTTTGCAATTGTAGGTAGTCACTCTATTTCTAATAATAAAATTCTCAAAAGGTAGTTGAGTTCATTGCTATGTGGAATGGATGTGGAGTACTTTAGGTGAGTGGTTGCACTCGGATTCGGCAACTTCTCACTCTTTTTCTGAAGATTCTGGCAAAATAGACCCCAGTCACTGATGGCACCTATTTCAATCGAGTTGGCCTTTTTGAATCTCCTACGCAGTAAGAGCAGCCCCCATGCTTGCGCCTTGAGTGGCGGCCTAATGGATCAATTCACCGGAAGTTAACCCAAAAAACGAGGTCATTTTGGGCATTTTCACACACACAGTTTAGTGCTGAATATTGATCTGAATCGTCTAATTATAGGTTTAGAAAGGAAAGGCAGCCTATTTGGGGCTGATAAATGGAGATGAGTAAAAGGGACTATTATCGGTGCAGCGGGGTACCTCAAGGAGAGGAGTACCACTGCACAGTGGCAAATCAGCTGCCTTCGGGTGGTTCTCGCTCTTGTTTCGTCTCATTTCACGTGCTGGTTTTTCGCCTTTTACTAAAGACCACCGTGGGACGGAACATTTTATGGAGCTTTAGAGCCAATTTTTGCAGGTCCTGAACTACGTTCGGGACTCCTTTTTAAATTCCAAAAATAGAACTTGCACACCCCTCAACAACTGAAGGAGAAGCACTCCGGCTTCACTCGGCTGTGAGAACTCTCACCCGGTGATTCTGGTGAATTGTCCGGCTTTGAGTGAAGTGTCTCAAAAAGCCAAGTTTGGCTTTATTCCATTTATTTGTGTCTAAAAGAGGTGATGACGGTGATGATAATGGTTGACTAGAGAAGGACAAGTGTTGGATTAGTTACATGTGTTGTCGTGGTAGTGGTTGATGATACAATTTCATGACGAAATTACAATAACATTTCAGGTAATGAAGAACACATCACCTGAAATTGGAAAGAGGAGGAAAGGAAGGGAGAGGACAAAGTGTGTGTGAGTGGAATATCATCGTCGTGTTAACAAAAAAAACAACAAAATGTGTGGAGAAGAAGAAAGACGCTGGAAGTATCAATACAATACAAAATTAAAGTTGACCAAAACAGAAGAAAGTAGGACAAAGTGAAACAACAAAAACAGACAGATCAAGGTTTGATTAGTGGTAGAGAGTGTTGAGTTTGGAATTGGAGTGTGGTGATCGCACTGCTTCATCATTCATTCATTCATTCACATCACAGCCAGTGTTGATCGAAGTAGGGTCAAGTTGAACATTGAACATGGTTTATCATCAGGTGTCTGGTAGTGGTTCGTAATGGTCGGTCGTTCAGTGGCAGAAGATCAAAAGTTTTGTTCACTAGTGTGCTGCAGGTGCGTCGGATGGGAAGGACTGCGAGTCAAGCGCTTCTTCGGCAGCTTCTGAATCAGACTGAGAATGCCGTTCGCAAAGTCAGGTCGCTCGTCTTCGTCATACGCCCAGCAGAGGTTCAGAAGGTCCTGTGGGAGATTAAGAAGATTGTTAGTGTTTCCAGTTAATACTCATCACTCGTGTTTATTGATTACCTTGACCTCCCTGGACGCCTGACAGTTCATCAGCGGCTGTCTGATGCCCCGTCCCACCTGCCAGATGATCACTTCAGAGGGGTGGCCGGCAAAGGGCCACATGCCACACATAAGCTCGTATAAAATGGTACTGCAAAGATGAAAAGGAGAAAGAGTCAATAAAACCGCTGATTGCAAGCAACACGCAAAAGCTTACCCATAGGCGTAAACATCAGTAGCATAGGAAAAGGGCAAATCATCGCTGTCCCAGCTGTTAATGCTCAGCGACTGAATAATCTCCGGCGCGAGGTAGCAGAGCCAGCCTTTAGGAACTGTCAAGCGATCCACTCTCCTGCGGAAAAAAGTTGTTAAACAAATTCATTTTAAACATCTAAACGCAGAACACGTACTGGTTGGTGTCGCACAGCTTGGCAATGGAGGAGAGGCCAAAGTCGGTGATGGTGACCTTGCCGTTGTCGTAGAAGATGTTCTTCGTCTTCAGGTCCTTGTGGATGATGCCGCGGGCGTGGAGGTAGCCCATGCCCATGCAGATCTGCTGCGAGATGAGGATGATCCGGTTGAGGTTGAACTTGTCGTGGCGAATGTGAATGTGATTGTGCAGCGTCATGCCCTTGCAGAGGGAGATGACGATGGCAAGGTTCGGCTGGCGCATGCAGGCGCCCATGAAGAGCACCAGGTTGTCGTGGCGGGTCTTCCGGAAGATGGCCACCTCCTGGCGAAAAGTCTCCAGCACCTTCTGGTTCTCGTAGGCGTTCTTGCCGCTGTTCAGGCACTTGATGGCCACGGCGCCGTGCCAGTGGCCGGTGTAGACGGTGCCGAAGCGGCCGGTGCCGATGACCTCGCCCAGCTCCAGCTCGGCAAAGTTGATGTCCCACTCGCGCATCATGAGGGAGTTCTGCCGCGGCCAGATGCGCCCGTCACCATCGAGGATGTCCGACGCCTGCGAGTCCTGCGAGTCGAGGCGGCCGGTCAGCGTGCGGCCCGAGTCACCGGAGGAGCCCGAGCCGGCGGTGGCCAGCGTGCTGCCCTTTGAGCTGTCCGTGTCGATGAGGTAGTTGGGCGATCCGCCGCCGCTGTTCTTCGCCCCAGTTCCCCCGCAGCTGCCGCTGCCCTCTTCCTCCTCGTGGATGGTGTCGATGCACTTGATGCCCATTCCCCCGCCGATGCTGCCCCCGTCCGACTCGTCATTGACCTGGTTCAAGTCGGAGGAGCCGCCGCCGCCCATGTCTCCGTCTGTCTCCGAGTTAATCATGCAAGAGGCCGGACCGGAATTGGAGAAGGTGATGTTAATGTCGGGCGGAAACTGAAACTGCGAGCTGTACTTGTACGGCTGCGGCAGCGGTGGCAGCGGCGGATTCGTCGGCGAGATGCCCGTCGACGATGAGCTGGAATGCTGGTGCTGACCACCACTGCACAAATTGTTGATGCTGTTGTTGCTGTTGTTGAAGAGCGCCGGCGAGGAGGGATTGGAGGAGCTGTGCCCTGGGCAGCCGCCGATGCTGCAGCCCATCTGATTGTAGCTGCCCAGCTGACTCTTCGTGCGAGCACTGTGCGAGAAGGAGGCGGAGGAGAGGCTGGCCGCCCGCGAGGAGGACGCATTCGGCGAGGGGGTGAAGCTGTTGCAGAAGGTGCCACTGTCTGTCAGCTGCAGCTGCTTCTCCAGATTGGCCTTCTCCTTGAACATCTCCATGAAGAGCTTCGGCAGGCCGCAGGAGTTGGGCGCCCGGTGGAGGCAGTCGTTGTGGCAGTAGTACTTGCAGTCGCGGCACTTGTACCCCAGTATCATCGGCCGGTCGCAGACGCTGCACATGGCGATGATCTTCATGGTGGCGGTGAAGCGGTGGTGGATGGAGTGCAGCATGCCCTGCGACCGCGGCGACCGAGGGGCGTCGTTGCGACTCTGCTCATCGCCGCTGCTGCTGCTGTTTCCACCGCCTCCACCTCCGCCGCTGTGATTCGTCTGCTGCTGTTGCTGACCGCAGTTGTTGTTGGCAGCAGCAGAGGACAGCGGTGACATGTGCGGCGGCATTGCAAAGCCCCCACCTCCATCGGGTCCTCCGTGTGCCAGGTGGTACTGTTGCTGTGCCTGCAACTGCGAGGCGGTAAAGTTGTCCGGGGAGACGGCCACCGGCGAGGAGCAGTCCGAGGAGAGAATGGGCGAGGTGCTGCCGATGCTGCCCGGCTCGGTGGCCAGTCGACGACGACCGTGCGGTGCAGAGTGCGGCAGATTGTCCAGCGAGTTGTGCTGCTTCCCCGAGGAGGACTTGCTGGAGCGGTGCGACAGAAAGCCAAAGTTGTACTTTTTGAGGAATTTGCTGGGTTAGAGGGGGAAGAACAAAAGATAAGTAAAACATAAAAAAATTATAATTTCTAAACTACTTACTTCTGAATGGCGGTATCAACGGGCTCAATCCGGTGCGAGAGGTGCTCCTCGTGCGACTTGCTCTTTGTCAGCGGAAACTGCTCCGAATCGGAGAAAAGGTTCGTCTGGTGGCGCCTGGTCGGTGGAGGCGTCGTAGGGAACTTTCCATCCGACTTGCGGAGAAATGAGTTGGCGAGGAAGGAGGACGAGGAGAGGATGAATGAACGCTTGTGGTGGACAACGGGCGGCGTGGGCGGCGGCGTCGGTCGTCCACTCTGCGGCGGCTGGGCGTGATTCGGGTCGTAGATGGAGTAGCTGGCGGGCACGACGCCCCCGTAGTGGAAGGGATGCGCAATGGAGGAGCTGGAGGAGGAGGTGCTCACCGCTGAGCGGTTGCTGCTGCTCAGACCGGCAGACAGTGGCGGCGCCGGGGGCGACAGCGGACTGGAGCCGGTGCTCTTCGAGTTGGGCCCACCACATCCGCCGTCCATCATGCCCGAGTGGTAGTTCACCAGGCGAGAGGAGGCCCGGGAGAGAGAGCCCAGTGGGGGCAGCGGTCTCGGTGGCTGTCTTACCGGTGTGCTGTTCGCCGATTCGGAGACGGCCGCAGAGATGATCGCCGCCGCCTTCTTCTCGTCGCTGTTCCAGGCCATGTTCCAGCTGCCCCAGGTGAGATCGAAGCAGGTGGACGGCTCGACGTCGTTCTGCAGCGCGTCCACGTAGGTGTGCAGGCAGATCTGCGCCTGCACCAGGCGTTTGATGTGTCCGCGAACGTAGCGGCGGCCGTCTCTGGCCATCTGCACGTTGTTGCTGTTGCTGCTGCTGCATCTGCCATTGCACGGGTCGCCACCGTTGTCCTCCTCCACGCCCTCGTCCTCATCAGAGCTGGAGACGTTGTCGATGGCAAAGGCCCGCAGCACCGCTTCTCGCTGCTGCTCCTCGCTGGCGTCCATCAGGGCGTCCACTGTCTTGAACTCCCTTGTCAGGAACTGTGGTCATGTGTGTAAAGTTAAAGTTAGTCAAAGTATAAAAGACTCTTCTTTGCTTTGTTTTGTTTACCTCAATGCGAGAGTCATCCAGACCGACTAGTTTGAGCCACTGCTGCAGTTTGGGAATGGCCTGGAGCTGCTTGATGCCCTTGTACCCGGGCACCTTCATCTTCTCCAGTATCTGCTGAGCTATGTGGCGGACGACTTTGTTCTGAAGGAGAAGTGAATTCATGAATAAAGATCAGTGATCTCCTAAATCACCAGCTTACCTCGAGAGTGCGTATCTCCTTTTGAATATCCGGCCTGCTGACGTCGCACTGCGTCCTAATGCCGATCATATTGTTGTAGCTGATGTCAATCAGCGACTGGATCATCCGACAGGCCTCAATGGCGGTGTTCAGCTTGGCGGAGTTGTCGTCGTTGACAACAGCAGCACCACCACCACCTTTGCCCAGGACGGCGGTTGGACTGCCACCCCCGCCTCCGCCGTTGATGCTGCCGACCAGAGCACTACTGTCGCCATTGTTGTTGTTGTGGCCGACATGATGGAGGCTGGTCATGATGCTGTCCGCTGAGGATGCCACCGTCTGACGGCCTTCAGTGTGCATCCTGGCAGCGGCGGCGGCGACGTCAGATTACTTCTACTGCTGTTTTGCGTGGGTGTCGGTGCTGCTGGCGACGGTGCTGGCAACAGCGCTGCAGCAATTTTAAACGCGAGCAATAGTGCTGCTGCTGCTTCTGGAACACTACGACTCACCGCCGAAACGGGGGAGAGAGGTAGTCAGCGAAAACCCGAACGGGACAGCTGCTCTGGCCCTGACGACGGAGCCGTCGATATCACCGTCGTTGGCTGCAGGTACAGCCTTGGAGAAGTGGTGCTGCAACTGCCGTAGCAACTTCCTCTAAGTGGCACGACCACCTAGAGAGTATCTTCAACATCGTCGTCACAGGCGTCTTGTGAGTTGCTGTGTTGTCGCACCAGTTTGCGTCAATCTGCTTGCGGACAGCAGCAACAGAAGAAGGAGAGGAAAAGGGGAAAAGTGCAGAAAGAGCTGAACAGCTGTCTCGCAGATGCTGGTCGGATGATAGAGCGATGCTGCGGGGAATGCAGCCGAATGAAATGCCAAGAGGTGACACACTCAGCGAGAGAGGGAGTTTGCCAGACTGATGCTGTTGATGTTGTTGTTGATGATGAAGATGATAAGTTATGACCACCAGTGAAGGAGGTCAGAGTGCTGTTGGTGGCGACAGAACGCAGATCATTTGCTGACGGCTCCACCGAAGAAAGCAGCTGTGTGTTGGTGCGCCTGGTCTGTCTGTGTGTATGTGTTTGGAACAAAGGTGAGAGAGAGACAGTTCTACTCGACTGCAAGACCACCACCAAATTGAAAGGTGCTTGCCAGCTGCTGCTGCTGCCACTGCTATCTCTGCCGTTTTCTAATTTTTCTGCGCTCTTTCAGTTCAGCGCCCACCTGAACCCCCGATCCGCTCACCTTCCGTCCTGCGGTAACGCACTCAGTGGACAGTGTTCGGTTCGGTGGCCAGTGCCCACTCCTCAGTTCCCAAAACTTCTCTCTCTCTCTCATTTACTCTTTTCGTCGTACATGTTCTCTCTATCTTTCTTTCTCTTTTGCCGCCGTCGTTAGTTCTCTCTCGCGCGCGCTTCAAGAACAGCTCGGCTGCTGCTGTCTCTGCGCTCCAGCGAAACGAAAAGAGAGAGAGAGAATTTCGGGTCATCCGGGAAAACGAATCAGCTATTCGGCTCCCGGGAGAGAGAATGCCTGCCTGCCTGCCGTTCCTGCCTGGCACTGGCGATGGCACTGGCGCCAGAGCCGCTAAATGGGAGTCTGGTTGTTTGCCGCCGCCGTCGCGTAGCCGAAACCGTCGCCATCGCCGCCGTCATTTGCCCGGGCACATCCGTGCGCGAAGAGAGAGCGAGAAAGAGCAAAGACAGTATTTTTACTGGCTTTCGTGTAAAGAGATATAAAATAGTTTTTTAGTAATAGTGCTGGGCCACTGCAGGTTCAGCGGTAAAAGCGAAAGGGAGAGAGTAAAAAAGGAGGGGGTAAAGAGTATAAAAGGACAATAGAGAGTGAAGGGAAAGGGAGTATAAAAAATGAATAACTTGGGTAAATCAAAGCTAAAGAGTGGAGATCGGGAGGTAGTGATGGGAAAGCTTTGGATAACAATTAGAACATCAACGAGTTGGAGATATATAAAATCTGAGAGAGGGGGAAAACGAAAACGTAACACACACAGGCCGCAACACGCGTATCACAAACACTGGCAGAAAGTTGTTCGCGCTGAAGTGGGTCAAGGTCGGGTGAGAATGGAAAAGTTGAAGAGTGCTTGCTTGCTTGCTTGCTCGCTTGCACACTCTTCCTCTTCGCCCACCACCACCCCCGCTAAACCTTGGCATTAAAGTTGAACTTGAGAATGCGAAACTCGTCGACGGGCGAGTCGTGCACGGCAATGGGCACAATGCGCATGATGTTGACCGGTCGTGAGCTGAAGACGATGGTCTGCCAGCCGGAGCACTTCTCGGTGGAGCGGTCGGCGACGCAGTCCCAGCTACCAGAGCTTCCGCCTCTGCCCGCCGCCCCCGCCTTGCTGCCCTGGTTGTAGATGTCCACCAGGTAGCTGTAGGAGACGGCCGGGTCGTGGTCGTACAGGCGAAAGGTGAAGGCGGAGAGGACGATTGGCTGGTCGAAGAGCACCAGCACCGGCTTGAAGCCGCGAAAGACGCAGCCCTCGCCGACGATCGGGCTGAAGTTGGGCATGGGCGGACAGGGACTTCCCTCTCCTCCCTTGCCACCTCCTCCCCCTCCTCCGCCGATGCACTTCTGCGCGTAGTAGCGCTCCTCGGTGGTGGGCAGCGTCCCTGAGTAGTCACAGTAGACGCGGTGCTTAATCTGGCAGGTGTAGAAGGCGCTGCTGATGACGCCGTCGGAGACGCGCACGTCCACCGCCGCGTTCAGCGTGTTGTAAAGCGCCTTGAAGGACTTCACCGCGCGGAAGGGCTTTCGCGTGCGCTCATCCAGACGCGTCTGGTGGAAGCCTTTCAGGCGAAAGTAGCGCGCCACGATGGGGTTGAAGTACAGGGTCTGGTGGTTGGAGCAGACGTAGTGGCGGTAGTCGAAGAGGACCGCCCAGTTGAAGCCGTCCACGGAGTACTCCACCACGTAGGAGTACTTGTCGCCCTTCGCCTCCGACAGCACCACGTCGATGATGTTGAGGAGGAAGGGAAAGCCCAGGCAGATGGTGATCTCAACGGGTTCTATTTGGAGGGAAGGGAAAAGTTAGTTAGAAGACTGCAGTCATGTGTTTAGTAAGCACCGAACGTACTGTCATTCGCCTCCGAGGGCGTGAACCACTCAAACTGCTGCGGACAGCCGACGTTGGCGCGATCGCTGACGCTGCTAATGTGAAAGCCAAAGTCCTCCTGGCAGACGTTGTAGTTGGCGATCACCAGCGAGCGGTTCTTCACTATCGCCCGCTTGGCCTTCTCGCGCGTGTCGTAGTACGTCAGCGAGCCCTTGCTGACGCCGTAGTTGGTGAGGATGTAGAAGTCGATGATGTTGTCAAAGCGGTGCTGAATCAGCTGCAGCGCCTCCACCAGGTCGCTGTAGTCGACGTCGTTGAAGCTGACCGAGCTCACCAGATCCGGTTCGGAGATGATGTTCAGGCGGATGGCCTTCAGCAGCAGCAGCTTCTCGTTGTTGGTGATGGAGGCGCCGTTGTGGTCGATCCACTTCTGGGTGGCCCTGAAGAAAGCATAACAAAAAGGTGTGTTAGTGACCATAACAAGAGAACAACAAAAGAACGTACTCGAGCAGACGCATTTCCGAGCAGGTAATGTTCTCATTAAGGAGCACCTTCAGCGTGTCATGTGAGATGCTGACAAAGTGGGCGCTGGAGAAGAGGGCCGCCTGTTCGCCGGAGGCGGTGCAGTGCTTCCCGCCCTGGCTGGCGCACTGCGCCAGTGACTCAAGGTAGTCGAAGCAGAGCTCCACCACTGCCTTCACGTCGTAGTAGACGGCCACGTCGAGGAACTGCCAGAAGTTGGCCGGACTGAGCAGCTTGCGGGCGATCTCCTGCAGCAGCGTCGCCTCGAAGCGCTCAAACTGGTACCGCTGGAGGAGCTCGTAGAGGCGGACCAGCAGGTCGGCGCCGATCTTCTCCGACTCCTCCAGGCGGCCGCCGTAGACGACCTTGAGGAGGAGGGCGAAGATCTCCGCGTCGGTCTCCTTCAGCGTCACCGCCTCCGCCCGGGACTCGAGCATGTGCGCATTGAAGAACATCGTCTCGAAGAAGGGCGACTGCGAGGCGAGGACCAGCTTGTGCGCGTTGAACTCGCTGCCGCCGATGGCGATCTTCACGTCCGTCAGGCGGCCCTCCCGGTAGAGGGACTCGTAGGCGGCGGACACGTCCTCCTGGAACTTCAGCGTCACATTGGCGGTGCTCCGCGGCGGGAGGAACATCGGAACGTCAGGAGATGAGGGCAGGCTGCCCGTGGAGGTGCTCAGACAGGATGTCATGGCTGTAAGGGATGGGAGGGAGATAGGAGAGGGAGTTCGTCTGAAGAATCCGCAGATCCTCACAGCGAGGAAGGGGAAGCGTGCTTGCGCGTGTGGCGTGCGTGAGCGCGATGTCCGAGGATGAACAGCGTTATGGCCGAGGCAAACGTGAGCCACTGGAAATGTGTGTCTGCGAGTCTGTGTATCCTCTGGTGGTGGCAAAACGCATGCTCCTCTGCAGGGATATCTGTGCTCGCACTCTTCCCTGCTCACTCGCTCGCCCACTGGGCGCCCACAATCAGCAGAGATTTCTTATCAGCAGCGTAGGTAAAGGAGTGCCCACCTACCTTCCCCCATCTCTTCATCGCTGATAAGAAGATGAAGCTGAACAGAATTTCAGCGATTGGACAGCACTGCTGTACACAAACTCTGTTACGCGCTGCAGTGAATAAAAAAAGTTGATGTTCTTGTTTTGGTAAACTCAAACTCGAAACGTGTTGAGAGATGAAAGGAAAGATAAGTTAGCATTTTGAGAGTTTTAGATGGAGTGAAAATGCTGTAAAAGTCTAGTTGTTGATTAAAGCTTGTCAAGAGCTGAGAGAAAACAAATGCACATTTGCTGAGGGCTGGAAGATGTCAAAGGATGTTTTATTGATTACATTTACACAGGCCAAAAAAGTTCTTCCGTTTAACTTCTGGGACGCTCCTTCTTCTCCTTGTAGAGAGCCAGAAGGGAGACGTTGGCGACCTTGACCACCTTGAAGCGGACGCCGGGAATATCACCGACGGCGTGGCCCTTTCGACCGAATCCGGCCACCAGCACCTCGTCGTTCTCCTCGATGTAGTTCAGACAACCGTCACGCGGCACGAATGCGGTGATCTTCTTGCCGTTCTTGATCAGCTGGACTCGGACGCACTTTCGGATGGCAGAGTTCGGCTGCTTGGCCTCGACGCCGACCTTTTCCAGGACGATGCCCTTTGCATGAGATGCGCCGCCGAAGGGGTTGGCCTTCCATCGGGTGCCTAGGAAGTGGGGAAAGATATCGGTAATTAGGTAAAGAAGTATTTAAAAACTGGCTGATCAATTACCCAGATGAGCCTTCTTGTAGTCCTTATCGTGCCAACGCTGGTCACGTCGGTGGTCGCGGTGCTTACGCGCGGTCTTCAGTCCCTTGGGCTTGCCTGTTGAAGTGGTGGTGGTGGTCAGAAATGATGCACACAACTGTCAGGGAGGGTCCTCCTCGACCTTCACTTACCCATGATTGCTGGAACCTAGAAGAATGTCGTGGAGAGTGGTGAAAGTTGGTGCAAACCGGGAGATACACAGTCGGTGATGATGCAGACGGCCGAGAGAGACGAGAGAGGATCGCTTCGATGTATTTCCGTCGCAAAAAGAGAGATTGAGTGCTACAGCGTGTGTCTTGCTGCCGGGGGATCGCGTAGA